TATATATATATATATATACCTACGTTTTATAAACCAATGTTGATAGTGTAACGTAAGGGAACTCAAATATTTAAACGAGATGTCGGCATGTTCCCGTTGTCCGATCGAGCAGAAATTTAACAGGAATTATTTTTTTGCGGATTGAAACCATTTTGAAGGCTGCCGCGAAAAAAAATTCGAAAAAATCATTCTTTTTTTTCGAGAATAAAGATGGACCATCCTAATATGTATATGTACATTTTACGAAAAAAAACTTTTTTGTCTTTAAATAAGTTTATTCTATTGTGATGTTGCGAAAATATGAAATCTTTGTATATTTCAGATTAATAAGTAATACTCGATAAAAGAGAGTATGGGTGAAAAGACGTTCAACCTTACGTGGAATAATCATCTAGCGAATCTGTCTGGTTTGTTCGAAGCTCTTTACAAAAGTGGCTCCTTGACGGACGCGACTTTGGCTTGCCAGGGTGGCATGTTAAGAGCCCACAGGTTGGTGCTAGCAGCTTGCAGCCCTTATTTTGAAAGGGTCTTTAAGGAACATTACGGAGAGCAACCTATTCTCATATTAAAAGGTATACATTGATATGCTTCGACGAAACATTGATAAAGTTTTAAATAGATATTTAAAGAAGATGTTTGTATGTGTTTTTTTTTAATGCTGGACATTTTATCTGAAAGAAAAAAAGAGATAGAGAAAGTGTTGCAAGTATTGCATAACGAAATCTTTTTATGAAGTTGGATTTCATAAAAGCTTGCGATCCAGCGTGCAAGCTTCTATTCTTTTAATAAAAAAAGCTGTAGCCTTCTGTAAAACTGGAGTTTTCTTTGGGGGCTTACTTTTTCTGAGAGTATAGCAGTATACATTACACGAAAATAAACTGTGGAATACATGCAAGAGGGAAAGAGAGAATTTTTTCCCCATATTTATTTCGAAATCTTTTTATTTTGAAATGTCTATGTCACTTCTTTGAAAATTTACAATTTTAAGGAAATTGAAATGTATCCTATCTGACATACTGCATTTTTATCTCCTAGGTGTCGCTATTGAGGAAATGGAATGCCTTTTGGATTTCATGTACAAAGGATCCATTGATGTAGCGGAGGAGCACCTTCCTTCGCTAATAAAAACTGCTACCGATTTGGAGATACGTGGTCTCTCTGGGGAATCGAAAAATCAAGAGGGTAACTGCAACCTCTATACCAGGGTTGAGACGCGAATGCAACGATGCCATATTGAAACTAGAGTGCACACTACCGAATACATCAAAGAACCATCAGTGATTCCTTTTCTACCAAAACACTCGACCGTCGATGCGATGGAGGATCACATTAAAGTGGAGGACATCGAAGTGGAAGATGATCCGATGGTGATCGACGGGCATGAGGACAGCTTCGACGAATTTCCGCAATCCACGGAAACGCAAATTGTAAACTCAAAGAATATGCGATTTAACTTATTTTGAGAGATTTAATCTGGATTTGTTGATCTTAATCTTCTCCGTTATGAGGTTCCATACACATATGGGTACATACACATGATGTAAGACAACAAGGTGTACATTCACCGACTAAAATGTGGAAACATATTTTTTTCTATGATTTTTGGAACGCAACCTACTCACCGAGCAATTGGTTCTTACTTACAAATCCGTAAGTAATCATTCGCTCAGTGAGCAGACTGTATTCCGAAATCCATTTAAAAGAAAATGTTGCTTTTAATCGGTGAGTGTACTATTCCCGAGGATGCGCAGTAAGAGAGTGAACTTTGGGAAAAATTTGATTGGCTATTTCAATATACCAGCGCTATTATGCGCAATGATACACCTTGTATTTTTACATCATGGATGTACGGTTGTGGTCGGAACGTTTGCAACACTTTTTTAATGAGTTTTGGAACACAGAAATATTGCAAATCTTTGTCTAGTGAGCTGCAATGAGAGTTAAGGTGAAATCACACGGTGCATAATAGGACTGCGGAATACCGGAATAGAGAATGCGTCATTGAAGTAACCAATTAGCGCTATTCCGCATTACGGAAGTTTTGTGTGATATGTTCACATAATGCGTCAAAGATGCATCCGGAAAGAATATAATTTAAAAACTACTAACTTTATGTTAATAGCTTGCTTATTAAAATAAAATATAGTTTCTCAAATTGTAAAAACAATGATCACTGTTGTAGTATTTAATAATTTATAATTAATATTTACAATCTCATAACAATTTTTTGAATTGCTTTAACGCATTTACTATCATTTTTCCGCACCATATGAACAGGCCACGCTGAAGTTGCACATAATGCGTCATTGTTTTTTTATCTTGATATCTATATTTATGCATTTAGATTTTGTCATTTTGCTTTATTCGTCACAACATTTCGCGATTCCATCATAACAATCAGCATTAAATTATTTTAACCTCTCAAAATATGACAGTTTATTACAAGAACCCTGTTTAAGTGACTTTAGGATTTAGGACATAATAACTTATTCTCTACCTTGCTGCAAATTCCTATGGGGAATTTTCTTATGGAATTGCCTAATCATGGCTGCTCATGGTAAATTCAACTGGTCCCCATGGGAGAAGGCTTCTATTCTTATTGTAAGTTCCCATAGGTTTTTTGATGGATTTTTATAGAGAACTAAGATTCTGTAGGAACCTGTATAGGTATTTCTAGGATTTACGCAGTATGTATATATAGGATAACATAGGAAATTTTTCTACAAGATTTTATATAGGAACCTATAGCATTAGTCCATGAAAAGAGGCTCCTATAGGATTCCATAGGAAAAAGAATGATGTGCACATTAATGCACTTAAATGATGTATAGGATATCTCGTATTTGGGATTATTTTCGTGTGCAGATAAAGTAGACTAAACTGAATCGAAAAATCCTGTATCATTTTGCAATTTTCACAATAGTTAGTTTCTAAAGATTGCCGAATAAGCGGGTAAAATCGACGATAAGACAATTTTAAAATAAACGATAGATAGGATCGAACATTATCAAACTAAACATTGAAATCAGCGCCGTATCGGTCACAGTAAGATGTTGAACTACTGACTTAATATACATTCAATAAAATTGAAAGTATATAATTAATTTTTCAGACATAAATTGAGAGCCGATGAAATTATCGGATTCACA